CCTGAGGCAGGAAGATCTCTGTGAGTTTGAGGCCAGCCTGGGCAACACAGTGAGTTCAGGCCAGCCTGAACTACATAGTGAGTCCCTGTCTCCAAAAACAAAACAAAACAAAACAAAACAAAAAGAATCCCTGGGCCTGAGAGTGGAGAGGTTTGGACTCAGAGCATCCAGGGTTCTGGAATTCTAATGAGCCCTGATTTCTGGAATCCTGAAAAGCCTCAGATTCTAGACTTCCAAGGGGTTGAGCTTCTAGAACTTCCAGGGCAATCTGGCTGGGGCCAGGCTGGTGACATGGCCAGGAATGGGTGCAGGGTGTGGGGTGCCCCACACTGGGCCCAGGGCCAGGTGCCACCAGGCTGCCCAGCGCTCAGAATGTGCCAATTGGTTCCCAGGCCCTCCTTGGTCACAGAGTGCAGGGCACATGGCCAGCCTGGCTCCCACTCAACACCCTGCCCTGCAGCCTGGCCCCAAGGGGTGATGCAGGCCTCACAGCAGCTTGAACTCCCTCTTGAGTCCCCAGTCTGCTACGCTGAGCAGGAGGATCAGCCCTGCCACACCACAGTGTCTTCTCTGTGACATGGGGGAAGGGCACCCACCGCCTGGTGGCCTCGGCTGTCCTGCCTAGGTCCACTTTCCCCTCGAAGCAGTGCCCCTGACCTGGGTGCCCTTCCTGCTCCTGTGGATGGGGTGGGAGCCCTGGGACCTTGGCCAGCCCCATTTCTGGAGGCTCTGACCATGTCCAGGTGGTCACTGTATATAGACCAGGCCGGCCTCTGCAGCAGGGCCTGCAGATTTGGATCCGCTTACTGTATGGATCCCTTGAATCCTGATGCAGCTGCTGATGCCCACAAACACCTGCATGTGACACACCCGGCCTGCAGGGTCCCCACTGTCCCTGGGTGTGCCCACCTCCCTCACCACAAGGCTTCATTTCCGGAAACTTTTCCTGTTTATGACACCAATGAGCTCCCCACCCCTGCCGCCCCGAGCCCACAGGGTGCAGACGGCTTCACAGCCCGGGCACCCTGAAGCATGTGGCCCCCTCTGAACTGGTTCCCTCATCTGTGCAATGAGCCTGTGCACTGTGATCATGGCATAGGCCTGAGCGCTGGGTGTGGGACCAGGGAGGGGACCCAGGCCACGTGGGTGGTGGTTAATGGTGGATCTATTACCAGGATTACATGGTTACACGGACACACACCAAGGGACACACACACACACCACACAGGCAACAGGGAGACAGGGACAGCTATACACACAGCCAATCAGATGAACAGGCAGCCGCACAAAAAGACAGACAGAGGCAGAACTCAGACTGTCAGGCACAAACACATGGAAACTCACAAACACACAGCCCACAGCCACCTCAGCTTCCGGCAGCCCAAGGTCCAGACCCCACTCATGGCCAAGTGACCTTCAGGACCGGATTGGCCTCTCCCAGACCAGGAGAAACTGGAAACTCAGGTCCAGCCCTGGACGCTCTGCCACCCGCTGACTGCAGGGAGCAAAAGCCACACTCCGGCCACTGTCAGGGAACAGACTGATACCCAGTACCTGGCTGCCCACAGTGACACACCCACCCACAGCACGGTAGGGTCAGCTGGAAATGCCCAGCCACAGGGCTCACACAGCCTGGGGTGCATCCTGCCAGGTGCCACAAGTGGCTCGGGCCTCACCTGGCAACCTCACCTGGGGGCCTCACCTGGCCAGGACTGGGCTGCTGAGCAGGGTCGCGGGGTCGTCCTGGGAGCAGATCAGCCAAGTGCTTAGGCTCCTTGAGGTCTGCAGGAAAGCCGAAGGCGGGCGGAGGGTGGGATGTGGGAATTCAGTTCCCAGGACCTCTAGGGAAACTGAGTCACAGCGGGGCGGGCCTGATGGACGCCTCGGAGGCTGCAGATGAAGGCCGTGGCGGCAGGGGGCGCTGGGGCGCGGGGCCAACCCGAAGAGGGGTCGGAGCGCGGCGGGGTGGGCTCAGGCTGGGGCTGGCAGTTTGGTCTCCGCTCGGTCCCCAACTCCCCGCCCGCCCGGCTGGCCCGGCCCCGCCCCCATGCTGGCCCCGCCCCGGCCCCGGCCCGGCCGCTTCCAGGTCGGTGGTCGCCCCGGCCTGCCAGGGACGCCGCTGGGCTTGGGGACACCGGTGAAATCCCCCATCCGAGGGCAAAGGCACGGGGCTCCCTGTTCCCACCCCCAGCCTCTGGGGCCGCCCCTGCGGGGCCCCTCCGGGCCTCCAGCCGCCAGCCCCGAATTATTCACTGTCTGCACTGTGCGCCCACGGCTTACAGGGCCAGGCAGCAAGCCTGGAGGTCAGCTCCTGGAGCAGGGAGGGGACGGAGGCTCCCAGATGGTTAACAAGTGGAATCAGGCCTGGCATACAGTAGGTGCTTAATAAATACAGGACGGTTGAGGAACTGGGGTGGGGGCGAGTAGACACTCAAGAGCCACCTGGCTGAGAAAGGGCTGGGGGTGACAGCAGTCCCACGGGCCCTCTGGGGCATGGGGGAGGGTCGGTCTTTCCGGCCTGTCACCAGCGCAGGGTGTGGAGGGATGGATGGAGCCATCACCACAGAAATGAAGCAGAAGCAGCTGGGAGGCTAGAGGCAGGGCCTATGCTGGGCTTCCCTGGCGGATGACTTCCTTAAAAGCCCCCAGAGCTGGTACTCTGGGAGGCTGAAGCAGGAAGATCATAAGTTCAAGCCCAACTTGGACAGCTTAGTGATTTAGCCAGACACTGTCTCAAAATTAAAAAAAAAAAATTAAAAAGGGCTGGGGATGTAGCTCAGTGCAAAGGCCTGGGTTCAATCTCCTGTAGTGAAAAAAAAAAAAAAAGAGCAGCCTCCAGATCCATTCAGGGCTCCAGGCTAGGGTTCTGCCAGCCAGAGTAGAGTGGCAAGGGGTGAATGGGTGGGCATGGCACAGGCAGAGGCTCAGAGATCAGACGGCTCTGCCCAAGCCCCTTGGCAGACGGGAATCTTACAAAGGGTCCTCCTGCTTTGGGTGGGGAGGGACAGGGCTCTGTGGGCCTGGGCCACCTTCTGAAGCTGTGTGCAGGTTAGGGCTGAGGCTGGACTTGTAACCTAGGGCTCACTGGCCTTAGTTGGCTGGACTTGGCCTGACTTTGGCCTGGAGTGAGCCAGCATGGCTGACCAGCCTTGACCCTTCCCCACCCAGTCCCCTACGTGGCCCAGGAGGGGCCCATAGCCCAGGCACAGAGCTGGAGGTTGGGCTCCACCATGCAGGCAGGAAGCCCCTTCCCTGCTGCTCCACCCCCCATCCTTCCGGTCTCAGCCCACACCTACACCCCTCCAAGTCCCTCCACATCTATCCCATTGTCTGAGTCCCTGAGGCATTTAACCCTAAAGTCCCTCTTCTTGGCCAGGAGCACCCTGACCCAACTCCTATGCATCTGCAAAGCCCTGGCTCCAAGGGCCCTCCTCTATCAAATCTTCCAGATCGCTCAATCTTCTCTCCCTCAACCCCTCAGGGCACAATTTTGAGCCCCTGGTGGGCCTGCTCTTGAGAATTCCTTTAGCTAGAGAAAGACAAAGATGGTCACAGAACATCCCAGGCCGCTGAGGTCAGGGTTGGGCCAAAGGAAGTGACATACATAGTCTGGGGATGCCCAGAGGTGAGCTGCAGTCATCCTGGGAGGAAAGAGTGTGGGAGCTGGGGCACTGTGAGTTGCATAGGAGTTCCCCAGGTCTGGGCTAAATGCCAGCGGCAGGAATTGTAGGGCAGATGTGGTGGGAGTGCGATGTGGGCTGGGGGTGCAGATGGGGTGGTGTTGAGGTGGAAGGAGGCCATTCCCTTCCACTTCCTCTGTTCTCAGCCTGGAGATAAGAAGAACGAGATCTTTTCTGGGAAAGAGCAGGGCAGGGTCAGAGGCTAGCTGACTTTCCGTTTCATGTGTCTTACATGTCTCTGTGAGGCAGGAGGAAAGGATGCCTGCTGTACACACGGGGAAACTGAGGTTCAGGGGGAGGGTGATATTAAGGCCGCATATGGGACTTAAATATGAGCTCTGGGCTCCTGTCACCTCTGGGGCTGGCGGCTGGTTGGTCCTCAACCCACACATCTGTCTGGGTGGGAAGGAGGAGCCTCCAGTCCTGGGGGGCTGGTGGTGGGAACAGAGACCAGGCTCAGGATGTGCCCCCCATGGCTGTGGCTTCCGGCCCGGACAGGCAGGGAGTAGTTATTCTTAGCTTTGAACACAGCCAAGGAAAGGAAGAGGCCGGAGTGGGGGCTGGGAGCAGCTTCCACCAGGACACCGGTGGACCTGAGGCCAGGGCCAGGGTGCGGGTCCTCAGGCTGCCCCACCTCAGCCTCCTGTGGGCTGAAGGAGGCTCCCTGCTCGGAGGTCCTGCCTGGGTCATGCAACTTCTGTGGCTCCTCACACCTGCCACAGGTCCTGGCCGCCCTCTTCGCACGCGCCTCTCCTCCAGGGAGCCCTCCGGGCTCTCCAGGACGTCCCCCTTGCCTCAGCTCTGCTCCCTCAGACATCCATGCCTTGCCCAGACTGCAAGCAGGATGCAGGGAGAACATGACCTGAGCAGACACCTGGAGGGACAGAGGGAAAACTGAGGCCAGACATAGGAATGTACCATATGCACAGCATACAGCCTCCCCACCCACCGTTTTGCAGTGCTGGGGCTGGAACCCAGGACCTTGCACACAGGCAAATGCTCACCACCAGCCCTTCTGAGACAGGGTCTTGCTAAGTTGTCCAAGCCGGCCTTGAATTCACAATCCTCCTGGCTCATTTTCCTGAGTAGCTCAGATGATAGGCATGCACTGCCATGTCCTGCTCTTCCCTATTTCTTGACCAAACACTGAGCTGGAGTCAAAGCGTCTCTGGAGCTTCCCTACTCAGCTCTCCCAAAAGGAGCCTGGTCCACAGCCCACACTCAGCCATGGGTAGCTCAGCTCAGGGATCAACTGGTAGAGGCTGCCTGGATGCACTGCTCTGTCGCTCTGTGGTTGATTAGCAATGTCTGCCACGGGCTCGGGCTGGAACAGATGGGACGGATAGGTCCAAGTGCTGCCACACATGCCTACTCTTCACTCTGGACCAGGATGGTCTGTGGTGTAGAGCGTCCCTTGATCAGAGGTACGTCCCTGCCATCCCTGAAGCCCCACACCAGAGGTTCCTCAGTGTTGGAAGTCAGGGTTGGGAGGTGACAGTGGGCGACCTGGGCTGGGGGACCCACTCTCACCTCTATTCCAATTCCTCAGCCTTGGCATCACAGACACTCAGGGCAGATCTGGGCACTGCACGGTGCAGGGCAGCATCCCTGGGCTTCACCTACTCCATGCCAAGAACAGCCCCAGTGTGACCACCACAGATGTCCTCAGACATAGCCGAGCACTGTCCCCATGAGCATGGTGGCCTAGGTGAGTACTTCTGACCTCCTGGTCCTTCCTACCAGAAGGGACAACCATATCTCCCACTCGGAAAGCAGCAGTGATGGGGGAAAGGGGCCAGACAAGTGGCGCGAGGCACTGCGGACTATTTTTAGGTGTCACACTGTGGGTGTGAAGGCTCCTCGGCTATGACAGGGACGCCATGGTATGCAGGACGTCATTGCCGGGGCCGCTGGGTGTGGGTGCTATGGCCCCGCACTCTCTGCCAACTGACTCTACAGTGAAACACTCATCACAAACACATGCCTGCTCCTGGACACCAAGCAACGAAAATAAAACAAGGTTTTTATTCCCACTTTAAAAAGTTTTCCGGATACACAAGACTGAATGATTTCCAGATGAGACAGGGTGTGGGTGGAGCTGTCGGTCATGAGAGCTGGTGTCTGGGAAGCTAAGAGGTAGCACTTCAGAACCCCCTGAAGACTGCTGACACAGACACAGACGTCGCTGTATCCAAGGGTGACAGGAGGGAGCTGGGGGGTCGGGCTGGAACCGTGCATGGGAACCTGTGTGGTCCTGGCTGACTGACACTCTGGGAGGTGCCAGGCTGGATGTGGTCTCCTCACCCTCCCGCCCTGGGCCAGATGCCCCACACGGGGCCCTGCGCTCCTCCTCCTGCTGCCTGGCGTAGCGCCCTGGCCCGGGAGGGCACTTCCGGCCCCAGTGAGCTGCCATCTTGTCCTGAGGCAACTGGCCAGCATCCTGGTCTGGGCCCTCCCACACCTTCCCAGGGTGAGCGGGCAGCTCTTGGGCCACCTGGACAGGAAAGCCTGCTGAGAGGTGCCCAGCCCCCTTCCATATCACAGTCCCTTTCAACACACCACATGCCCAGGCTGCCTCTGTCTCCTCCACTGTCCAGAGTCAGTTCTGTGGCTAAGTCCTGTCTGGTGCAGAGGGAAACACAGGCCCCCCGGGAAGCTCCAGCTGGGGGCAATGCCACCCCAGCCTTGAGGCCTGGCGCCCACCATCACCGGCGGTAGCGGTATCTCTTGAAGTGGAACCAGAGCTGGAAGATGCCGTTGGCGAACTGGCAGCGGAAGCCGTGGCGGTGGGAGTACTCCCACTCTCGGTTGACGATCTTGAAGGCGATGTCCTCGTAGGGCGGGCCTGCGTGGAAGCGCAGGATGGCGAAGTCCTTGTTGTCAGCGCAGGCCTCCAGGAAGTACTCGGGCGTGGAGCGCTTGTCGATGAGGTCGGGGTAGAAGATGTTGAACTTGTAGCCCTGCACGATCTTGGGTGGCGGGTTGTCGAAGTCGTAGTGCGTCTGGTTGTACTTGTTCCACTCGAAGCCAGTGTGCACGCGGTTGAAGAAGCGAGGCTTGCGCGGCCGGTACTTGTCGGCCCACAGGTAGGCCTTGCCGCTCAGCGGCAGCTCCACGCTGAACTGCGCCTCGTCCTGGCCCATGCCCTCCTTGGCGCGCCGGAAGAAGATGTCCTCGGCGCTCTCACTGGCATCACCTGCGTGGGCAGTGCATCAGCCCGAGCCTCCCTGGGGCTCTGGGGGTGCTGCCCTTGGGGCCTTTCGTGGATGGGAACTCACTACCCCAGGGATCCTCCTGGCTTGCCAGCCTGGCCCTGGGTCCTGCCCCCAGCGCCCCCTTGGGCCCTTCCTACACAGCTCTGGGCCAGGCCACTGTCCCCTTGCAGCCCTGCCTGCAGCAACACATATGTCCCCTTGAGGTCCGGCTCATCCAGTCCAACCGGCCCCTCCCCAGCGACTCCTGGGCAGCACTACCCATGCACCCCAGCAACGCTTCTGCCCCCTGCAGGTGGGCCCAGGCCAGGGGCCCAGCCCCACTCCCTCCAAGACGCCCTCCTGGCCCCGCCCTCAAAGTCCCCCCATGTCACCCACCGGTGACCTGGAGCTGCTGTCGAGACAGCTGCAGACGCTGCATGTCCTCATCCGGCTCCAGCACGTGCGCATCCAGCGGCAGCTCGTGTGCCGTGAGCAGCCGAGGGCTGTACCGGCCCGCATCGTAGTCGTCCAGGCTCTGCTGGATCAGGTCCTCCTCCATGAGCACCGCCTCGCCATCGCCGTCCCCTTCGCCCTCTCCGGCTGCCCCCTCATCCTCCGGGGGGCCGTCCTCTGCCGAGGGCCCAGGCGGTGTCGGCACCAGCTCCTCAGGCTCCAGGCTACAGGGAGAGCAGGGGTGAGGGGCGACGGGCGAGGGCGCCACCGGTCCCCAGCCCGGTCCTTCCACCTACCTCTGGCTGGGGGATGGCGGCTCCTGCTTGAGGATGGGGAACAGGGGCCCGCTCTCCACGCCCTGCTCCTGCTTCAGCTTGTACAGCTTTTGCCGCAGCACATCCTGGTGGCGCTCACGGAGCCTGTGACAGGGTAGCGGTCACAACACCCTGCTCGGGGGCTGGGCCAGCACCCGTGCCCCACATTCTTCTGACTCCATTCTCCCCCCAGGGCCCTGAGGCTCTGTGGCCCCTTGGGCCCCCATCTGGGTTTGTCACAGGCAGACAGGACCCAAAGGGCCAAAGCTGGGGTGGGGTGGGGAGGACAGGCAGGGCCTGGAGAGTGATGACAAATTTACATCCATTTACAAAATAAAACTGGGGACAGGCGCAGCAGCAATGTTTACAAGACGGTGCCAAGCATGCTTGGAATCCGTACACAGCTCCCGGGATGGGCTGGTGGCAGGGCCAGGCTTCCTGTGCCTCACAAAGGCAGGGAGGGGTGGCCTGGGCTCACCTGGCTCTGGCCATGTGCGCACGCAGCTGCTGCAGCAGGCTCTCCCAGTAGCCCATGTCCAGGTTGGGGCCACCAGCCCGGATCTTGCCCTCGATGCCCTGGAAGATGACCTGCAGCTGCGTGTAGGTCTTGCCTTTGAACACGGACTGAACGTCGGAGCTGACTGAGGCATTCACACCCTCCCTGCGCTCACCTGTGGGGACAGGGTTGCTCAGGGCCGACTGGGTGCTGTCCCCAGGTGTTCGGTGCTGGCTGCCCCTCTGTGGGCTAAGGCCACGGCACCCTGGCTGGGGACAGGGTGGGCACTCAGGGAGGAAACGTGGAATGCAGAGGCCACATGGATGTGGACAGGGACCTCTCTGGGCCATCAGGCCAGGACTCTGGGATCTGAGCCAGGATCTGCTTCACACAGCGGGGGCCCAGGCAGAGACCCCGATGGCCCTGCTCACAGGGAGCCCAGCACCACCAGGTCACTGTTCCCCAAACAGGGGCTGGAGCCTGGGTCCCTCACAGCCCCCACAGCTGCCTCAGTTCACAAGCCCCATGGCAGGAAGGCCCCTGCTGCCCCCTAGTGGCTCCACCTTGCTGGAGAGGCATTGAAAGGGGCCATGGGGACCAAAGATGGGGAAACTGAGGCCTGTTGAGGGTGCCAGGCCCTGCAAGGACCCTGGCTTTGGGCAGGACCATGTGGTCCACAAGGGCTCCCACCAGACCTGAAGAGTACAGTGCGTGGCTCAGTTACCTGGGCCCTTGCCTGAGGCCTCCAGCTTTCGGAGCTTGGAGATCTCATCCTCCGTGATGATGGTCATGTCACGCCAAAAGTCTGCGTTCTTGCCCTGCTCCAGTTCCATGTACACCTGGGTGGGGCCAGGCGGTGAGGGGTGGGGCAGGCCTGGGAAGGGGCAGGGCAGGATGGGGTGGGGCCTTGGAAGGGCGGAGTCAGCACAGGGAGGGAGAGGTGGGGTGGGGCCAGTCTGGCCAGGCACCTGGATGTCCTCCAGCAGGTCCTCCATGTCAGCCACCGTGAGCCCGTTGAGGAAGGTGTAGGGCTCATGCATCTCCACAGCCAGGTCATCGTCCTCGGCACTGATGTACTTGGCCAGCAGGTCAATGGGCTTCGCCCGCCCATCCCGGATGCGGATCTTGGAGCTGTGGGGCACACAGGGTGGAAGCGTCAGAACAGCGGGGAGGCAGGCAATTGGGGGGGGGCAACACATGGTCTCCAGCTAGGCCCAGGGGCAGGGACAGGTGGGTGGGTCAAGGCGGGGCCCCCAGGTGTGCCCAGGAGGGGACTCAGGTCTGGGCTGCATGGGATCTGCAGGGGAGCGAAGTGGGGGCAGACTGGGGACCACAGCAGGCAGCGGCCATAGCTCCCCAGTTCGACTGAGGTGCCGGACCTTAGCTCTGGGTGGGCAGAGGCCTTGGAGGTAACCGGGGCACCCACTGCTGGGGGACAGTGGCCGACAAGGGGTGGGGGTGGGGCAGCCCAAAGAGGGTGCTGGGAGGGTGGGCAGGCGAACCGCAGCTTGGCCTGCTGCAGGTGGAAGTGGTCCTCCTGCTCCTCCCACGTCTTGAAGTGCTCCGCCTCCTTCTCCCGCTGCAGCATCTCCAGCTCCTGCTCCCGCATGGCCTTCTCGCGCTCCCGTTCCAGCCGCAGCTGCTTCACCTGAGGGCCACATGGGGTGAGGAGGGGGCATGGCGGGATGGCCACACAGGCCCATCTGTCCTGGCCCACCCGCCCTGTGCCTCAGTCATCAGCCTGCGATGCCTGAGATGCTGGGTAGACCCTGGGGTGGGACATCCCCTTTCCGCTGGAGACCCTGCAGCCCTGAGTGGCTGGGAGTAAGGCAGAGGACAGCAGAGCCCATGTGCAAGAGAAACAGTTTCCTGGAGACACTGTCTGAGCCCCTGGACACAGCCATGCCTGAAGCCAGATTGCTGGACCTCACATGTAACCTGGGTCTCGGAAGAGCTCCCAAGGCCGCCCGGCTGCTTACCTTCTGCAGCTCCAGCCGATTGTCCTCCTGGATCCTCTTGTTCCGCTCCTTCAGCTCCTTCTCCTCCAGGTGGCTGATCCCCTTCTTCTCTAGGGCCTGCAGAGAGCAACCTTGGCAATGAGCACCACTGCACCCAGCCACCCCCACATGGAGGCCAGGGCGCCCGGGCCGGGCTGGGCCGGGCCAGGCCAGGCCTGAAGAACGGAGTGTCTTCTGCACAGAGTGACTGTTCGTGGCTCAATGTCTTCTCCTGTCCTCTCCTGTCAGCCTCAGAGTCCCTGCCTTAGAGTCCCCGGTGTTAGGAACGGGATGTGTGAGAGGCTGCAGGACTCCAACGGCTGGCCCCAGCCACCTTGTATCGTGGGTAGGGTTGTGTGACCTGGGGCTACCGCTTCACAGGAAGTCTGGCTGCAGTGGCAACAGGAGGTGAAGCCTCAGTGCACCAGTGTCCCCAACTTTGTGCAGAGGCAGGACAGCGAGGAGCAGTAGGCGTGGGATGCCGACTGGCCTGGGGTCACTGGAGGCAGGGGCGCCTGGCTCCCCAGGCTCACACCACACACGGGGGCAGCATCTGAGCTCTGTCCCAAAGACACTGTGACACCATGTCACGACTGCTCCACACTGGCCGCCCAGGCTCCCAGTGACCCCCAGGAGGCTGTGCAAGGGTCCCCTGATGTCCAGAGGAACAGAGACCCCCTCTGTGGCCTGCCCTTCCCCTGCAGAACTCACCAGAAGGGGTGGCGGTGCAGCCAGCACCCAGGAGCTCTGCCAAAGCAGGTACATGGGGCGCCCTGATAAGGATGTGGGGGCCTGAGGAGCAAGGGCCAAGAAGCTGCTCTCAAGAGGGGTATGAGGGTGAGGCCTGCAGGACAAAGCAGGCAGCCCCCTGAGCAGAGGGGACAGGCAGGTGCAAGGGCCCTGAGGCAGAACACATTCTCTGTATTCCCAACAATGGTTCCCGCTGGGGACATCACAGCCCCCACATGCAGCCCCATGAGGCCAGGTGCACACCCTTGTGATAGGTGAGGACCAGACCTCCGCCGAAGATGTGAATGAGACACAACTAGAAAGTCTGCAATGCTGGTGAAGAGGGCACCCTGGTGTAGCAGATTCCTCCCCCAGTGGCCAGTGACCTTCCAGGAGGTGACAGGGACAAGCACAGAAAAGAGAAGGCCACACGAAGATTCAGATGTGGAGGGAGACAGCCATGTGACGACGAGAGGCAGAGAGGAGCTAGGCTGTCACAAGCCAAGGAGGACCAAGGCCAGAGAGGAGCATGACAGCCCCTGGAGGGGAGTGGCCCTGCGCAGACCTGGTGGCCGGCAGCGCTGCAAGACAGCAGGGCCCAGCTTCAGCCTTGGCCAAGGCTGATGGCAGCAACCAGGCGGGATGGAATGACATGCACAGAGGGCACATGGCACCTGCCACTGCAGAGCCCACCCTGGGGCCCAGGGCAGGAACAGCCCTTTCTCTAGGCATACTGGGGGAAGGCTGGTTCCAGGCAGGAATGAAAGGGCTCACACTGTGACATTCAGCAGCCATAAAGCTGACAGGGGAGAAGGCAGGGGATGTGTTGCAGGGTGACAAGACCCTCAGGCTGGGATGGCCTGGGCACAGCATGCTTGGCACACCCACCAAGAAAAGTTTTTTTTTTTTTCTTAGGTACTGGAGATCGAACTCGGGTCCTTGCGCTTACGCAGCAGGCGGTGAAACCACTGAGCTAAATCTCCAGCCCCAACCAAGAACAATTTTTGAAGACAAAATGTCACTAAGTTGGGCCTGGTAGTGCACACCTGTCACCTCATCTGGAAGACTGAGGCAGGAGGATTGTGAGTTCAAGCCCAGCTTGGGCAACTTAGTGAGACCCTCTTTTAAAATAAAAATTTTAGGGTCAGGGGTTTAGCTCAGTGGCACCACACCTGCCTCACAAGTGCAAGGTCCTGAGTTCGATCCCTAGTACCATTAAAAAAAGGGTAAAATTTAAAATTTAAAAAGGGCTGGAAATAAAGCTCAGTTTGAAGACCCTGGGTTCCATCCTCAGTCCCCCCCCCACACAAAAGAAAACAAAAGGAAAAGAAAAAAAATCAAATTCCTGCTGCTAGGGGCTAGGAGCGCAGCTCAGCAGCAGAACGCATTCTCAGGGTGTCTCGGGCTTTGCCCTGGGTTCCATCCCCAGCGCCAATAGAGCACAGCGCGCTCCAGCGGGAAAGGGGCCGTGGAGGAGGGCGCGGGAGGCTCACCTTGTTCCAGATGAAGGTGCCCAGCAGGTTGTTGTCACCGAAGGGGTTGTCGGTGTTGGTGTAGCCCATGTACTCCTCGCCCCAGCCCATCTTCTCGCGCTTCTTGCGCTCCTTGGCTTCCTTCTTGGCGAGCCGCCGCGCTCTCTTTTCCTCCGGTGTCTCGAAGGCCTTGAGCAGCTCCTCCTGCTGCTTCCGCTCCTCTCGCAGCCGCAGCCGTTCCTGCAGGCTCTGCTGCTGGCTCAGGGCCGCTGCTGCTGCTGTCAGCCTGGGGCTCTGTGAGCGTCCTGGGGAGGCTGAGCTGGATGCAGAGGATCTCGGAGACCATGAGCGCCAGTGACCATGGCGGGTCCAGACCTGTTCCTCTCCAGAATCTGATGGGGAGGACCTGTCCCGGTCCCGGGAGTGCCATCGGGATGGAGGGGAACTCCGGCTTCGCTTTCCCTGCTGCTGCCACCGCTCCCCCGAATCTGACCTGGGGAGAGGACCCGCCAAAGTCCGCTGAGTGCCTGCTGCCGCTCAGCCTGCCCAGCCTGCTGCCTGGTGGGCACTGTCCTAGGTTCTGGAGACACTCCTGCCTCCTCAAGCTCCCCATTGAGAACACACATATGCACGCGCAAACATCCTCATGCGAGGCATGTCTAGGACTGGGAGGCCATAGGAACCACAAGTGCTCAGTGAGGATGACGGGATGGCCCTGCATGGCAGAGAGCTCAGTGGGGGCCTCTCTGAGGAGGTCACCAGGAGCACGGGTTGCAGGAAGTGGGGGAGGAACCTAGGGACCATCTGGGCAAGTGGATCCCAGGCAGAAGGAACAGCAGGTGCAAAGGCCCTGAGGCAGGAATTTGTTTGCTGAAGGCCTCCTGTAAGAAGGCTAAGGAAGGAAGAAGGGGAGAGGAGGGCGAGCTGGGCGGGGGCACAGGAGCCAAAAGAGTAGGCGCCAAAGACCTGGGTACACCCAAGGTGTCCACAGCCGGCTACCTGGCGGAAGTGGCATTCTGACTGCCCCAAAGAAGGTCAAGAGTTAGCTAGAGTGAAAAGGTAGGAGCAAAGAGCAGGCAGTGATACTTGAGCCCCTAGAGATGGATTCTTTAAGGTTTCTAGTTTTCTGAGCATGGATGATCACCACCAAGTATTTTCCTAAGTGCTCTATTTGGCTTATGTACAAAAATCTAAGCTACGAAAGTCAGTTTACTTTGGAGCCCTTAAATATTGACTATAAACTTGATCAAATTTTTATAAACAATACTGAATCTAATTACATTACCTAATATGGCTACACTGGAAATCATTCAAAGACAAAAAACAGCACATATTGCTGGGCATAGTGATGCATGCCTATTCATTACTGGGGAGGTGAAGGCAGGAAGATCTCTGAGCTCCACCTGCAGTCTGTGCTTTCTATAAGGGCCAGGCAGCAAAATTGTTTTTTGAGACAGGGTCTGGCTATGTAGCCCTGACTGGCCTTGAACTTGCAGTGATCCTCCTGCCTCAGCCTCCTGAGTGCTGGTACAGGTGTGCATCACCATGCCAGGTGGTAGTAAATATCTCGCAGAATAAAAGAGCTCAGAGGGCCATAGAGTATATACATAACACAACCACTCAACTTTCCTGCCATAGCACAAAGCCAGCTAGTCACTATGTGAGCAAATAAACATGGCTGTACTCCAATAAAACTTCATTTTGGGACACTAAAATGTCTGGGTGCTAAATTCCATATAATTCTCATGTATCATGAAATACATAACTTTTTTGGATTCCTCCCCACTACTTACAATTGTAAAATCTAGCCAGGTGTGGTGGTGGCACATGTCTGTAATTCCAGCTACTTGGTAGGCTGAGGTGGGAGGATCAAGAGTTTGAGGCCAGCCCCGGGGGAACTTAGAGAGACCCAGCCTCAAAATAAAAAACAGAAAAAGGGCTGGGGGTGTAGCTCAATACAAAAGCCCTGGGTCAATCCCCACACTGCCTCCCCCTCCAAGAAAAAAAAGTAAAACCACTTTTACTTCATGGGCTGTAGTTTGCCGAGCCTGTTTAAACCATGTCTTTCTCAAGTGCCTCCTGCTATTCTCACCTTCCTGCAATTCTTGGGGCAGCAATGACCTTACCAGACTCAAAGGGAAAGTCATGTAGTGGAACGGAGAGGCACTCAGCCGTGCTTTACTAGAGACCCTGGCTATGCTATGAAGAGCAGCTGGTCAAGCCCCACGGAGACCTTGAGGACAGAGCTGGGTTAACTTGAGCGACAGTCGGGCAGGGCTGGCTGAAGTATAAGCCACAGCGGGGTTAAGTCAGAATGGGACCCACGTTTGGAAGTCAGTGTGCTGGGATTGGGAGAGGGCACTAAAAGGACTCAAGTCAAGTCTGGCCAGATGCTCCATCACCGGAAGACAGGACTGCGGACCCTGGGGAAGCTGAGACCAAGCTCACAGGAGTCAGCTGTGACTCCTGTCACTTGTCATCATACGCAGTCCTTTCAGATCTCTCCAGCAACGGTTGTCACCTCTGCTTCCAAAGTCCCTTTCGGATCTATTCACTTTCCCGCTACGCTTTCCATCAGGTGGCCACCTACTACCTGGAGATGTGTACCGTCCTCTCCGGTGCCATTCCTTTCGCTGTCTGGTTAATCCTAACTCGAGCTCACACACACACTTCTCCAGGAAGGCCTCCCTGACTACGTCGTACGGATGGGCATCTCCCAGATCCCCTAGGCCCGGAATCCCCGAGACGGGAGTCCCACCCCCAGCGATGGCCCCGCAGCGGTCCCACCTGCGCTCCCGGCTCCTTCGCCTCCGCCTGCGGGGCTCCTCATCCTCGCGGCGCCGGTGGCTTCGCCGCCCATGGCTGCCGCTACGACTTCGGCTCCGGCTCCGTCGCCTTCTGCCCCTGTGACCAGCGGATCGCGAACGCGAGCGTGTGCCGCGACCCATCGGCGGGACGGCAGCGGCGGTGCCGACTCAAACAAACCGGGGCCTGCGTCGGGGGCCTTCCTTGGCCGCGGCGCGTGCAGGGCTGCCCCGAAAGCGCCGGACCAGGGAGAGCGAGCCCCTCCCGCAGCCCCAGTCCGCGGAGACTCGAAGTCCCGAAAGCTCCGCACCATCGCAACTATGGCTCGGATGATGGACTCTTACTGAACCGTTGTCTCCAGGACGGTGTGAATCGCTATTCAGGCAGTACTGGAAACAGCCCCTGCCAGTCTTGGCTCCTTAGAAGGCCTGAGGAACGTCAGACGGAGTCAAATAGTAGGCGTGGCCGAGACGACCAGAAACTGCGTGGGCGAGGCCTGAGGAGGCGGAACTTAGAAGAGTCGAGTCCGTGGGGGAAGAGGAGCCGAGTGGGCGGAACTGAGGAGGCGTGAGCAAGTAGGGCGTGGCTAAGGGAGGCGTGTCTAGGGAAAGCCAGGTCAGGGGAAAGAGGGAAACCAATTTAATTGGGCGGGCTCCAGTCTAGACTGCGGTAAAGAGGGAAGGGATACGGTGCTTTAGATGCTGGTCTGTGTTATCATGCCCTATCACCTGCCAGTAAATACCTGTGCATCTCACAGGTTAAACTTTTAAAAACCTGGGATCGCTCCCTAATTTCCCCACCAACCCATTTTATAGATGGAGAAACTGAGGCCAGGAGAGGATAAGTCACTACCACCCCTCTTCTGCCCCACAATGAGGTATGTGGAGCTGGGATTTGTCACGTGGATATCTGGGAGAGGTCGGAGAAGACTTGAGCAGCAGAGATCATCGGGGACTGGCTGCAGGACTGCAGACCCTGAGCTCCCTTGGCCCAAGGCCCTGACCTTCATCACATGGTTCTAAGGATACCCAGCCTGGGTTTGGAGGCCGATGCTTGCTCTCTGTTCCCCTGGGCTGCGGATATCAGAGGCTTTGAAATGTTTCCTGAGTTGAACTGGAACCTGGACAGTCATGGCTGTTATACTCACGTGTTTGGGTCTAATTTTTGTCACTGTGTTGCCCAGGCTGGCCTGGACATCCCAGACTCAAGCAATCCTGCCTCAGCTTCTGCCTCCCAAATAACATGGTGTGTGCCACCTTGCTGTTTTGAAACTTTTTCCTGGGGAGGGGCGTACAGGAGATTGAACCTGAGGCCTTCTCACTGAGCTATACTCGCAATCCTTTTTGAGTCTTGGTAAATCCCTAAATTCCCAACTGGGCTTGAAATTATCTTCCTGCCTCAGCCTCCTAGAGTGCTGGTATTACAGGCATGTGTCACCAGGCCTGGCTCTTGTCATAAATTTCACAAAGGTTTCTTTCCGATCTGATATTGGCAGTCTGCCAACTCCCAACCCACAGAGGCAAACCAAGTCAACTGATGTGTATACCCGATTTATTAGAGATCTCTTCAACGTAAAAAGAGGGGGTGTGTGGGAATGGGGCAGGTGGGGCCTGGACCACATACGGTATTCTGTGGGGCCAGTGGCAGCTGTACTGTCAGGGGCGCCCACAGGTCTGGGCTGGAAGGACACGGCCTGGCTACTGGTGCCACAGGAAGCCATGCTCCGGATTGTCACACACCAGACCACAGGGACTGATGATGAGGGACTCCCAGTGGGTTAAGACACGAAGTTTGCAGTTTTTTGTTCTGAAATGGTTCAGCCACATGGAGACTGGGCTGGCCTGGGCAATGGAACTTGTAATCACCGGAGAGGAGGAGGTGTGTGTGGAGGGGATGCTCGTCCTGGGTGGGGGGCGACAGAGGGGCTGTGGCGACAGTACCCTGGCAACGGACCCCGCAGGGACAGGAGTATTGCACTGAGCCAGGTGTGGAGGTGAATGAGGACAGTTGGGATGGCCTGAGGGGAGGGGGACAGGCTGGAAGGGGACACATGGAAATTTCCACCTTGCCAGTCTAAGAAAATGCCTCTCCATTTTTACAGTACAGGGATTCGGACATTGTCCAGGGTCTGCAAGAGCAGCCGTCTGGAGAGGTGAGGCAGGAAGGAGCTGGGTCATTGGGATATTTACAAGTCTAACAGGAGTGGGGACAGCCGGGTGCACCCAGGGCCTCCCTCCTGGAGTCTGAGGAAAGTCTTGAGTTTGCCACATGTCATGAATAGGTCTCTCCTGTCTAGCCCACTGTGCCCGAAATGATAAGCAAGTGAGGCCCCTTGAAACAGTCTGGGGGACACTTCAGCATCCTTTTTGCAATACTCTGAAAAGGAATGAAACAAGCAGCCCACATGATGTGGATCCCCACAGGGCCTCTGGGGATTAACACAAAAATGGGAATGTTGGGACATCCAGCCAAGAGGGCTGCAAGATTTCGCCGGCCCCCAGCGCTGTATACAGGCTGTGACTCACTGGGGGCCACACAAACCATTTTCTTTCTCGACAGTGCTGACTTCCAGACTCCACCTTCTGCAGTGGGACCATGTCCTTGGGGGCCTGGGCAAGGTGATGCTGCAGCTGTCTCTGGGGCCTGGACAAACCCTTTCTGGGGCTGGGGACCCCAATCGGGCTCCCTGGGATAGATCCTCAGAGCCACGGCAGCAGCTGGGTCCTGTGAGGGTCTGGGCGGGAATATGGGTTTCCTGTTGGTGGCTCAGGGAAGAGCAGACAGATCCCCACTATGTCCCCACTGCAGAAGGGACACCAGAAGAGGCCTAGACAGCTGTCTGGCATCTTGCAGAGGGCTTAAAAAAAATCAAATTCCTGGATGGGTTGGTGCTGATGCTGTTCTTCTGGGAGGTGTGGCTTCAGCTCCAAGCCCCTCCCACTGCCTCCCATGGGGCTCTGTGTTGGGGATCCGAGAGGCCAGGGCCTGCGGACCATCACCAACATGCCCTCTCCCACCCTCTGGACAGTGTGGCCACGAGAGGGACACCCAGAGGAAACGCTCCTGGACCCGCCCTGTGGTGGCCGTCACGTGTGATAGCAGCTTGAGCATCAGAAGTGCCCGCCCCAGGACACCTGGTCTCCGATCCTGCACCCAAAGGCCCAGCCTAGCCGCTCTGGAAGTCAGAGGCTCTGACTCTGGGAACCATGAGAACCATGCTGGGAAGAGGCAGACAAGTCCACAGCCCTGAGCTCTGGCGGGAGGGTCAGCAGCATTGGGGCGGGAATATAACGACCTGGGCATTCTTGCTCACGGGCACCTGGGTCTGGGGATGTCCCACAACACTGAGCCACTGGGGGCCACTCCTGAGGATGCCCGTCCTGCACTGAGGCCCCCACACCTGAGCCAAGCACGGGAGGATCTGCTGCCGGGAGGGGCAGCCCCAGCACAGAGGACAGCGAGACAGCAGGAAGAGGCACCTGGGGGCCTGTCCTGGAGTGTGAGCCTCACCTGGGCAGCCAGGCCCGAGCAGCCCAGGTCCCAAGGAATGGCCTCGTCCCTGTGGGACACATGCAGTGGAGGCAAAGGACCAAAGTGCGGTGGTGTGGAGTGTCTTCCTTTTCCGGTTTGTCTCTTTTCCCCTAAAAAGCACCACTTGCCTCTGTCTGTGCAAAGAATAAGGACCCAAAATAAATACAGGACAGGACGCTCCGGAAGGTTGCTGTCTGGTGGGTGCAGTGCGGGCGGCCCAGGGTCGCTGCGTGGCCTGCGGAGCATCGGGGTGGGGAGGGGCTCGGCCGGTGGCATCCATCAGGGGCAGGACGAGGACAAGGTTGGCTGGGGTTGGCCGCAGGGCGGCATGTCCCCGAGCTCTGGGCCTCAGCTGGGCAGGCAGCGCCTCTGGGAAGCGGCTGAGGTGGTGGCGGGCGCTTGGTCCCAGGTGGGGGACTGCATAGAAATTACTGCAAAAAGAAAGGGGGTGGTGAGGGCGTTCGAGGACCCGGGTGAGGACCCCCCACCTGGGGCTGCCCTTGACCTCAGAGCTGCCTGGCCTCGGGGACGACACAGGCCCGAGATACTTATGGCAGGGCCATCTGGACATCAGCGAGCCTCACCCTCCCGCCCCAGCCTGTTTCCCCATCTGTCTGGATTCCCTGGCCCCCAGGGGACTCACTGTGTCACTCTCGCCGTCGGAGGGCTGGGGCTGCGTGCTATAGTGGAGCGGGGAGTACACCCAGCTCCTGTCGTCGGTGGGCTGTGGGCAGGCACGTGCAGGGGGCGCGGAAGAAGAGAGGGTGAGCGGAGGCAGAGACAGGCACAGGAGGAGGAAGGAAGAAACAGGAGAAAATAAAAGAGGCGGACCCCCTTGGACAAGTGCGCCTGCCCCAGCCCCCACATCCTCGGCTGGCAGGCGGTGGGCAGCAGGAAGTGTTAGTCAAGGCTCAGGGACAGCGGGGACCGGGAGGAGGGCGGAGGGGAGGGCAGGGTGCTGCAGCCTGGACCTCTTCCTCCCCGTCCCCCAAGTCCTTCCAGACCAGCTCCTCCCCAGCGTCCCACACGGGCTCTGGGACCTCCACGGGGGCCCTGGGCAGTCAGGGCACCGCCACATTTCCTGGCCGTGGTCCCCGTGGTGTCCACCCGAGCCTTCTTCCTCGAGTGCAGGGCACCTTCCAGGGACAGACCGCACTGGGCCCCTGCAGGGCCACCTAGCCTGGCACAGGAGCGCACAGGCAGGCTCAGGTTTGGGGAGGGGCCTGCTGCTCCCATTTCCAATGTCCCTTCAGACTGCTGGGGGCTCCCCAGTGGCTCAGTTGACCCCCGATCTCGCCACCTTCTCTTTTCCCAGGCCTTTTCGTCACCCCCGGCTTCCCAGGCCCCCCTGGTGCATAGTGCCAGGTCTGAAGATACACGGGACTGGGCCGCGTGCACCTGGTGTCCCTTGGCACCTAAACTCACCATGGCCACAACAGAAGGTGTCCCCAGCCAGCCTGACAGCGCCGTCCATTGGCTGCCAGGTCTACTGCTCCCCAACTCCAAGCCCGGACCGTCTGGGCGCTGTCCTAGTCGCCAGCCTCTGCCCTCCCTGATTGGCCAGGCCCTGGGCTCACCCGTCCCCCAGCTCAAAGACCCTCGGGCCACAAACCCCTTCCTCAAGCCCTCCAGTTCCATCTGTGGCTCCTGCGGGGTCCTGAGGGAGCCATCAGGGCCACCACACATAGGCGCTGAGGAGGCTGCAGCTGAGGGGAGCCCTCAGCCCTGGACCCAGAGGCCACACGAAACCCTGACTTCCGAAGGCAAAACAGCTTCCTGCCTCCCCAGGGCCCTAGGGACCCAGCTCTGACCTCAGTCAGGTGAGGGTGGGCTCGGAAACAAGCAGCCCAGTGGGGGACCCCACCAAAAACCCAAAGAGCTAGCCCTGGGGGAGGGGTCACCTCAGAAGTACCCATCGCTGCTCCTGGCTAGGGACCACTGACCACTGGACGCTTTCTTCAGGCACGTTAGAGAAGGCGGAACAAGCAGGCTGTTCCCTGACCTCAGGAGCAGAGGACAGAAGAGGCCCTCGGCTGCCGACTGGGCCAGGGGCAGGCCCTGGGTGCCTGCATGCCAGGCCACAGCTCATCCTTCCCAGACAGGAGGCCTCTGGCAGCTGCCCCTCCTTCCCTCCTGTGCTTCTGCTGACCGTTGTTTCTCTTTTAGTGGCACTGAGGACTGAGCCCAGGGCCTTCGCACTGTGCTACACGCTCAGCCCTTTTTTCATTTTTATTTTGGGACAGGGTCTCACTAAGTCTCTCGGTTGCACAAGCTGGGCTTAAACTGGTGATCTTCCTGCTTCAGCTTTTCAGAGTGCATGGTTTACAGGTGGGCACCATCATGCCTGGTTCAAACTTTTACTCCTGCTGCGCCCTCCATTAAGAGCACCCCAAATGTAGGCCTCTGCAAACCACTCCAGTCCCTGGCTTTATCCGGCTGCCAGCCAGAGCTGCCCCAGACTGCAGCTTCCCCAGCTCATGTCCTGCCAGGCAGGTGGTGACCAGAGGCGCTGGGACATGGCCTCTGCCTCTTGGGGTCGCTTCATGGTGCTTGGCACATGGTGACACCCAGAGAGGTTTGCTGATGGGTCAGGGAGTGGAAGGGGTGCATCTAAGGGCTCCATCTGAAAAACAGACATTTGCTTCCAGTTGGTGCCCTGGCCCAGCTGTGAGTGCTGTGCGGCTCTGGGCAGGTTATTCCGCTTCTCTGGGCCCCTTGTTGGCTGGGCAAAATGACGACACCCATAATATCACAACCACCCGATTTCCTTGTGGTATCCCCTGCATACTGGGTGGGTGTCTATTCAATAGTTTGCTGTTGAGCTACTGAAAAACTCCTGACCATTTTTTTTTCCACATGGTTACTAGGGCTGAATCCAACGCTAGGCAAATGCTCACCACTGAGCCACAGCCCTAGCCCTTTTATTTTCTGAGAGAAAAGTCTCCCTAAGTTGCCCAGGCTGGCCTTGAGTTGAATTCAAGATCCTCCTGCCTCAGCCTCCTGAGTATCTGGGACGACAGGTGTGCCTGCCTAGGGGACTTGGATTTTATCTGAGCCCTGTGTTCTCACAGGCTCCCTGCGGACTGAGGTCTCAGCTTCTCCACCTGGGGGGTCCTGGTGGTCCCCGTGAAAAGCTCAGCTCTGCTGCTGCCTGTGAGCCGTGTTTGGGGTAAAGCCGGGACAGTAGGCCAGGCAAGCAGTGGCATGGAGGGCTGAGACAGGTATGGCGGGCAGCTGGGGTCAGGGCCGACCCTGCCGCATGCATCACAGGCTGGCCTGACAACAGCGCCCAACACAGCGAGTGTCCACTGGACCCTGGGGTCAGTGACGGCCCCATGACTTCACCACCGTCCTCGTCTCCCCAAAGTCCTCTGAGGACAGAACGGGACACTGGACACCGTGTCTCGGGCTGGGGACCTGCAGCTCCCTGCTGCCCAGAGGAGGGCAGGGCCCCTTCTCCCCAGAGGGCCGGCTGCAGTCACTTACAGTCCCCGAGGAGCTCAGCGTCACGGCCCGCAGACGGCGATGGCGGGGGGAGTAAATCCAGTACCTCCCATCGGCGAGCTGGGCGGCGGGGCCGGAGGAAGAAGAGAGCAGAGGCTGAGGTGGGGGGGCAACAGCAGGCGGGGACAAGCGATGGCGGAAGCAGAGATAGGACGGCACGCGGGGGACCTGCTCTGCAGCCCACCAGGCCTGGGGACGCACGGCCCTGGCTGCCCCTCACCATCCACAGACGGAGACCACACCCAAGCCCTTCCTTCTCCGGGGCCAGCAGGGACTTGGGGCCCAGGGCAGGCAGTGCGGCTCCGAGACAAAGCGGGGTGTTAGTGAGGAAAGGGTGCGAGGCTGGGTGCCTGGGCCACCCCCAGATGACAATGAGAGCCCAGGAACTGCCCATTCCAACTGGGCAGTCGGATCCCAAGTGGGCAGCACTGTGCTGGCCCCAGGACCCAAGGCTGGGGTCACTGGACTCGGTCTTCGGCCTCTGACTGAGACGCCTGCACGGGGGCCCTTGCTCTCCTCGGGGACAGAGCCCATCTGGCCTGGCGCACCCCAAGGGAGAAGACTCTCGCCCTTTCTTGGCCACCAAGGGCGTGGCCCTCTGACTGCCCAGCAGGGCTGAGGGGCTGAGGATGATGGTGGGGTGGCCCAGCCTGGGAAGGGGACATGGAGCCACGCTGCCCTGTGTGCTTGGACGGAGTTCGCTGGTGTGAGTGTATGTGAGCTCAGTGTGGGTGAAGAATGAGTCTCAAGTGCGTGGCTGCTGCGGCTCCGTGGGACCTGGGGACTTACAAAGTAGATGTCAGTGGCGGGCACGTCCTCCTCATCCGAGGCCTGGCTGGCGGGCTCTGAGGCCTGGCTGGTGGTTTCTGCTTCCGCGGTGGATGCAGAGGCCCCCGCTGGGCAGGCCTCCACCCTGGGAACATGGGACAGATGTGGGATCCTGGGTGGTTCTGGACCACACCCGGCCACCCAGCCCTGACCCCATCTGCCCTGCTCCTTCCTGGACCTCTGGAGCCTCGGAAGGGACTGCAAAATGTCATCATCATTGAGGAGACAAAAGACCCAGACAAAGCTGAACGCAGTGGTGCATGCCTGTCAGCCCAGCACTCTGGGAGGCTGAGGCAGGAGGATGGCAAGCTCCAGCCCAGCCTGGGGAACTCAGTGATTTAGCAAGGCCCTGTCAAAATGAAAATAAGAAGGGCTGGGGCTGGGGCTCTGTGAGAAGCTGGGGCCAATCCTTAGTATTGTACAGAAAAAAAAAAAAGCAAAAACTATAAAGTCAAGAAGAATTTGATGCTGGGGATTTAGCTCAGTGATTCCGGCGCCTGCCTCGCAAGTGCAAGGTCCTGAGTTCGATCCCTGGTATCAAAAAAAAAGAATTTGATAATAGCACAATTCAAGAATTACAAACACATCGATCCCTGGCACCAAAACAAACAAAAAAACAACAAAAAAAGAATTACAAACACATGACAGATGAAAAACTAGTAAAGAAAGAAGAGACTCAATAACAACGGAGCAGTCAGACGTAACAGGTCTGGAGAGAAATAGGCTATATATTTTTTTCCTTAAGTCCCTGCACAGTTAAAACAATGGATTTTGGCCAGACATGGTGGTGCACGCCTGTAAGCCCAGCACTGGGGAGGCTGAGGCAGGAGGGTCACCATGAGTTGGAGGACAGCCTGGGCTACATAGCAAGACCTTATCTTAAAAACAAAAACAAAACAAAACAAAAATAAGATTTTCTATTTGATCATAAAAACTTTATTTAAAAAATATCATATGTGCCGCCTTGCAAGCTCAAGGTCCTGTGTTCGATCCCTGGAATCAAAAAACCCAAAAAAGCCCCCCCTAAAAAAAACCTCCAAAGCCCCCAAAAAACCAAAAACAAAAGTAGCAGTGTTATTTTTTGGTTGTTGGTTTTTTAGTACTGAGGATTCAATCCGTGACCTCACACAGGCCACCCACGTCTGAGCTTCCTGAGCTGCTCCCCAGTCCTTTGTATTTGTTTTTGTTTTGTGTTTTTTTTGGTACCAGGGATTGAACTCGGGTCCTCAGCTTGCGAGGCAGGCGCCAGAACCACTGAGCTAAATCCCCGGCCGCTTTGTATTTGTTTTTTGAGACAAGAGCTCAGTAAGCTGCCCAGCCTGGAATTACAGGTGCGTGTGCACCACGGCACCCTGCAATAACCAAACCAAATGAAAACAAAATGTCTGTTTAGGCTCTTTTCATATCAAAGCTCATTAAAATTATAAATACTAAAAAGGTGAACATAAAAATGCTTGATTGAATGTGTGGCTCAAAGACTTCTGGGCAGCCCTTCGCCCATGGTCCCTCCCTGCCAGGACTGTGGGCACTGAAACCAGGTTGTCCTCTGGGGGGCGTTCTGGGCACTGCAGGTGCTGAGCAGCGGCCCTGGCCAGGAGCTCCCTTACATGACAACCTCAAAAGTCCTCCGATGTCCCCCAATGTCCCCTGAGAGCAGAAACACCAAGTCTGAGAACCACCGCCTCAGATCAGAGAAGGAACAAGAAGCAAATCACTGGCCTCCCCGTGCAGCTCACCCTGGGTCCTCCTTGGGGACCACGATCTCCACGCTGCATGTGGGCTCCACCTGCACAGTAATCTGCTGCAGGTCTTCCTCCACATGTGGCTCCTCCTGGGGCCTGTCAGCAACCAAGCCGCGCCTCAGTCCCCCATGCCCAGGGGTAATGTGGAACTGAGCCCCATGTCCACTTCCAGCCCCGGTGGGAGTCCTGGTGCCTGGCAGGGCCTGGGGCACAGCAGGCTCAGGGGCTATGCATGGAGCCCTGCCAGCTCCCGGACCAGCAGGGCACCTACTCTACGTCAGGACCCAGTGCCCCAGCAAAGGAGGGTCACAACACCACAGACGGGCTGGACATGCAGAGGGTGAGGGGACCGGACTAGGGTCTCACCGGCCATCCTGTCCGGACGACTGTGTGCGCCGCCTGTGGAAAGACGGCAAAGGGGAAACCTGACCGACTGTGGCCCAAGGTCCACTCGGAGGCCCCTCCCACTGCTCCCCTAAGGCCCCTCCCACCAGCCTGCCCCACCCACCTGCCCACCACAGCCCCACCCACCTGTACCGAGGCTGCTCTGAGGACTCAGAAGGGGACCGCTCAGGGATGGAGAGGGAGGTGGATGACAGGGTCGTGGCTATGGAGGCGGTGGTGGCTTCTTCAAAGGAAGGTGGAGTGCAGGGCAGGAGGTCGGGCCGCCCTGTGTGGGGAGGTGGCAGGCAGCTCACGGAGCTGCCACCCTTCTGTCCCACACACCCACCCAGCAGCTCTACCTTCTGTGGGGCTGAGCCAGGGCCCCACCCTGGGCACCCTAACCCAACCCGGGATGCTCCACCTCCCACTTGGGCCTCCAGATGCATGACAGGGTTGAATTTCCTGGTTTTCTCTTTGCTTTTGTTCTTCAGTACTGGGCCTTTGCACTGAGCTAGATCCCTGGCCCTTTTTAATTTTTGAGCCAAGATCTTGCTAACTTGCTCAACTGTCCAGGCTGAGCTCGAACTTGTGATCCTCCAGCCTCATCCTCCCAGAGAATTGGGAGGAATCTCCCCCTTATACAAGAATTTTCGGGAGCTTTTGCGGGGAGCTTACAGGGTTCTGCAGGACCCACCAGTCTGCCTGCCCTTGAGAGCAGTCTCCTGCCTGGCTTGCTCTGCCTCTCCCACCAGGCTGGGGCCTGCCCCAGGACCTTTGCACAGGTTATATTCTCTGCCCAGGATGCCATTAGCTCTCCCCTGCCTGGAATCCTTGACCCTGGCAGGGTTCCTGGGTGGAGCATCAGACCTTCCATGAAGTTTGCCCCTGTGGGCCTGGCACCCCCATCCTGGTTTTCCCTGCAGCTCACTACTTCATCTGTAGACCCTCAGAAGGAGATGGCTGCGCCCTGTGAGCCCCACTGCGGCTGCCCAGTCACCTTCATCCTCCAGGGTGGGGTAGCTGCGGGCCCCCCGAAGGTCGTACTGTGCATCTTCTCGCTCGCTGGGGATCTGGCTAGCTGAGAAGGCTGCTGTGGGCCCCAGGGGCTTGACAGCCAGGAGGGCACTGCGCCCCTTCTTGGACGGTGAGGACTTCAGGGCTGTGAGGGAGGAGGGGCGGTCTGTGCTCTCTACTGGCTCAGAGCTCTGCCCTTGGCTGCTGCGCAACCAGGTAGGTGACTCAGCCTCTCTGGGCCCAGCGGCCTTGGTGGTAGCAGCCGGGTGAATGGGCTTGGCTCCTGGGTGACACCTGCCGAGAGGCAGGTGCCCCATGGCCCAGGACTCTGGGGGACGCCCCGGCCTGCAGCAGGACCAAGGGGCTCTGGGTGTCCTGCCCCCGGCCCCCCAAGTCCCACCCACCCCAGGGGGTCTGGCAGCTCACAGGAGTTCTTCCGAAAGACCGTGTTGCTCATGAATTTGAAAAAGCGTTCAGCGTAGAAGCTGGGCCGGTGGACAGAGACTGTGTCCTGCAGGAGAAGCGGTGAGGGTGTGGGGACAGAAGGCTGTTAGTTTCTGGGGACTGAAGTGGCCACTGGCAGACTCTGTGTTGGAAGCTTGGGGGATCTTTTCACTATAAACCTTTGTGCATTTTACTTATTTATTTCATACTGGGATTGAACCCAAGGCTTTGCACTGAGCTCCATCCCCAGCCCTTTTTATTTTTATTTATTTATTTTGGTAGCGGGGATCGAACTTGGGTCCTTGCACTTGCGCAGCAGGTGGCGAAACCACAGCTAAATCTCCGGCCCCATCTTGACCACCTTGATGCATATTCTGGAAGATTCTGCCTGGACCCTTTGAGGGTAGGGTCCTCCTTGTTGGATTCTATAGCCTGTGGCCATGCATGCAATCCTTAGCCTTTTGGTATGAATCAGTCTGAAGTGGGGGCTGTGGGCAAAGAGCCACCCACCCAGACAAGATCCTTGTGGGGACTCGAGGAGCCCCTGCAGGGCCGGTCAGGACATCACAGTGCACAGGAAGCATTTCTGGGATGGGCTTACTCAGCTCAGGCTGTCCTGAGGCATCCTCCCAACACAATGCGGTGTCCCTGACCCTAGGGGCAGAGTCCCCTGCGGGGCTCTCGGCTGCCTGTATCCCCTGACATGGTGGTCTAGATTGGTGACAGCCTGTGCCTACTGGCCTGTCAGTGCCTAGGAAGGTGCGATGCCTCCCTTGGCGCCTCAGCCCTTGTGCAGGAGCCGGTTGTGCGTGTGGACTAATGGCGGAGAGAGGAGGAAGGGAGGACACTCACCCCATCATGGACAAGGGCTTTCCAGGTATGCTCGAGCTTCTTGATGAACCTGCAGAGAGAAGGGCCCGAAGGTCATTGGCCGGGGCCAGGTGACTTCCCCAGGCAGCATGAGGTGGTGCAGGCGCACAGGAGACGGACAGAGTGCACACAGCGCAGGCACGGCAGGAACGGGGTACGTGCAGCGCAGGCGCAGAGACACACCTGTAGGACTGCAGGATATCGATGATACCTATGTGCAGCAGCAGCCGCTCTCCGCGTCCGTTCACAGCTGGGATCCCACCCATCCTGCAGAGAGAGGTCCACAGGGGTCAGTATGGCGGGTCTGGGGGACCTGGGCCCACGAGGCCATCTTGCCACCAGGCCGCAGCTGCTGAGTCCCCACCCGAGACCCACTGTCCTGTCCCGATGGCTGAGCCGCACTCATGCTCAGAACTAGAGGCTGGATGCTGCTGTGGGCTCCTTGCCACACAATCTGAGTGAGCACACCTCGCACATGCATGCCAGGAGGTTATAAATGCTAATGCCACGTTAGACTGGCAAAATGCCTAGCCATACATGCATGCACACATCCACATGTACTCACCCACGTGCAGCACACACGTGTCCACATGCACACCCTCCCACGTGTATGTTCATACACACCAGCACGCACACATGAACACACCCACACACATGCAATTAGATAATGTGTGCTTGCACACCCCACACACAGACACACGCACGGACATGCACTCACACAGACCCCATGCACACATACATCACATATACTCGAAACTCTCATATGTAAGCAGACATGCACATATCCACGCATACACACACACACCTGTGAATGTACATCAATGCACACATGAAGACATGCCCTGCACTCCCAGGAGGGCCCTGCCAGGTCTTGGGCTCAGGCTGGGCACAGTCACACCACTGGACCCCACGCCCACACCCACCCAGCCCCTTGCAGTTAGTGAGGTCATGCGAGGCAGCAGCTGTCCCAAAGCCACCACAGCTCCAGACTGCAGGCCGGGCGGCAGCAGCCCATGCACGCACACCAGGGAAGCTGAGCTTCCCTGCTCCCCTGCCGTGCCCCACGCAGGCAGACCCACCCTACAAACACCAAAGCAGTCTGACGCTGGCGGCTGTGCCGGGCGCTCGCTCCCCCACCTCACCCTGGCTAGGGCCCAGACTGGTGCTTCCTCTGCCCTGGGGGTGGTGGGATCACTGCAGGGCCTGGCCCCAGCTGGTTGTGCACCCTGATACGCTTCCCCAGCCCAGAGCCCTGCTCAGCGGGCATGGCCCCCAGCTCTCTGCGCCCGGCCCCACCTACGTGTCGTCGGTGTCGATGGCCTCGCCGCGCACGGCACCACCCTGGATGGACTCCATGGCGGTGGAGTAGAGCGCCTTCTGGCCCACTGGCCGCTTCTCGTCCGCTGTGCTCTGAGCACCCTCCGCCTGCCGCTCCCTCTCCTGCTGGTCGATGTTGTGGACGCCGAGCAGCAGGCTGTAGTCCATGATCTTGAAGCTCTCCAGCACCTGGTGGGGCGAGGAAGTGATCAGGAGACCCGTGGTCGCCACCCTGGTCCCACAGCAGGCCTTGCGGCCACGCTGAGGTACCTATCACCACCCCAACAGGCCAGAGGATTGAGCTCAGGTCACTCAGGGGGTGGCCAGGCTGGGATGTCAGCCTGAGAGTCTGGCACTGGGAAGTGGACTCAGGGCCTTTGCGCTGAGCTCCATCCCCAGAACCTTTTTTTGGGAAACAGGGTCTGGTTAAGTTACTAAGTTGCCCAGGCTGGACTTGAACTTGAGATCCTCCTCCCTCAGCCTCCCAGAGTGCTGGGATGATGGGTGTGCACCACTGTGCCTGGTCCGTTTCTGCTTCTAACTACTTCTGGAGGGACACATGCCCAGTGTCTGCTGGGAATAGACACTCATAGTCACCACAGCGTGGGCAGAGGCTTGTCCCACTCAACAGGTGAGGAAACAGACCCAGAGAGCCCATGTAGCCAGCTCGGGAGCCCTGGTCCGGGAGCCCCACAGGGATGGACCCCGGCAGGGAGCAGACAGGTGGCGGGGTGGGGGGCAGCCGCGGACCTCACCAGGCAGTCGCGCTGTAGTGTCTTGACCAGGGCGCCAAAGGTATCGGCATCAAGTAGCAGCCCCTCGGGCATGTCCTGCATGAAGTCCAGGTCCTTGTAGGTGGGCAGGCTCTTCTCCTTCTCCTTGCGGCTGGCACGCCGCTTGTAGGTGGAGCCCTTGAGGTCGAACTTGAGGTGCATCTTGACGACCCGCGGAAGCACGTTGTTCATGACCACCACGCGAATGTTCTTGCCACCCGACTGCACACAGTACAGCCCGTAGAACTTGGGCAGCAGCGTGCGGGGGTTCTGGTTGAGGTTCTGCCAGGCGACAGGGTGGCCAGGCCGTCAGCAGGGACCCTCACAGGGACCCACACTGTTCCCCAGTGCTGCTGCTGCCCCACTTGTCCCCAGCATGGCTTCACTGGACCCACAACATCAGGCTCTGGTCCATGGGGCCAGCTCCCAAAGACAAAAATATGGACCACAGGAACCTTTATTATTTTTCAAAACCTTTTTTCAGCACCAGGGATTGAACCCAGGGCATTCATGTTAAGCTGTATCCCAGCGCTTTTTATTCTGAGCGCATTTTTATTCTGCTAAGTTGCTAAATTGCCCAGGCTGGGCTCGAACTTGTCATTCTCCTGCCTCAGCCTCCCAGAGTGCGGATGACAGCTGTGTGCCACCGTGCCCAGCCCTGCTGAACCCTGATCTAGGGGGCCCTAGGGTTCTGCCCTAGCCATCCCAAAGGGCAAACTGAGTCACAGTCCATGCCAGGTGGGTGGCCCAAGGGGGCTGTGTGGCAGCACTCAGCCTCCGCAGAATGGGAGGTGTCCCTGGTGAGGTGCCCGCCTGCAGCTCTGTGCACCTGAAGCCTTGTCCCCAGTGTCCTCCACTGGGAATCACAGCACTGGGAGGTGGATGGAGCCGCTCCTGCCCCAGCAGCTGATCTTCTACAAGTGGCGCCAACTGGTGGCCATCCCCTCCCCACCATGCTACTGAGTCACCGCACGCCCGGAGGTTGGGGGCGATGTGATTTCTGGGACTCAAGGCACAGAGGTCACAGGGAGCCAGGCAGGGACCAGGTCCACCCTGTGCCAGGGATGGTCACCAAGGAGCCAGCTTGCCGAGGGGCCACATGGGTGGGGACGGGCCGCATACCATGTAGTAGCCGGGCAGCAGCTTCTGCAGGAACTCGGCCTCCTTGTGCATCACGGTCTTGATGATGAACTCATCGTCACTGGTGACGTAGAAGAGGGAGCCGCTGGCGCCCGGGTTCGAGAGCTCGATGAGCGGCTCATTGCACAGCGAGTACTGAAAGGCAGGGGCTGTGTCAGCAGCGCAGCTCTGTCCCGCTGCCCTGGCCTCGCCCACCAGAGCTCAGCTCCCGGTTACAAACGAAACCAAAAGAGCACAGACTCAGAGAAGGGCAGCGACTTGCCTCAGGTCACCCAGTCCCTCCATGGCCCCAGGCCAATCTGCTGGGGTGTGGGTCCCCCAGGTTTCCCCCTCTCCAGTTAGTCACAGAGACCCCATCACACGGAGGTGTGATACTCCACTGAGGTGCACACTGAGTTGCTGAGGCTCCAGGCTGAGATGCATCCCCACCCTTTCTGCAGCTGGTGTGGCCACAGCATCAGCTCTGCCCAATCTCATGAGCAGAAACTGAGGAGTGGGGGTTTCGGGAAGGCTCCCTACACAGGTAGAAACAGGTGCACCTGCCTCTGTGCCCTCTCTCCTGCCTTATTTCCCACCTGGAATGCTGATGCAATAGCTGGAATCCCAGGGGCCAACTTGGGCCATGAAGTGACTTTTGGGATAAGAGCCACATTCCAGTGACAGCAGGAAGAGACAGGACGGAGCCGTATCTCGGATGCCCAGCCCCCTGGCTCCCTCCACCCTGCACCCCAACCCTAGCTCTCATTCTGGTCTTCTCCTCACTTTCTCTCCCACTGACGTTTACATTTCCCCTCTGCATCCACTCCCTACCTCCCCCACCCAGCGCGGGAGGACGCTGAGGGCCGGAGACGCATCCAAGCCTCAGCTGTCACCAGGCCCGGCCATCTGTCTGTCCTTTCTCCACCCACGGCCACGAGCCACAGATATCCACAGGAGACAGAAAGGCCCACGTCTGGCCCCGGCCCTCCTGACAAGCCCGAGGAGGAAGGGACGTGACCCAGACAGGACGCTGTCACCTCAAGCCCGGGGAACCCAGGACTCGCCTTCACCGGGGTCAGACAGGACCCCATTGCCATCAATGATGCCAGGGAATCTCACCGACAGCCTGGCCTTGGGGGCCTTGCCTGGGGAGCTCTGTACTCCAAACAGCCCTGCTCCCTGCACTGCCCAGCTTGGGGTAAGGGAGGAAAGAGGCACAGCTACACAGAGGCACGGGGTTCAGCAACAAGCAGTGCAATCAGGAGACACAGATCAGACTGGCCAGGGGTACCCTGGGATCAGCTGTCACTTGTGGCTGCAGAGGACACAGGTGACCCAGAGACGAACACGAACCAAATACGGGTCTGCAGAGCACACGAGGCAGAGAGGCACCGGTGGGACCCGGGCTCAACCCTCTCAGTGGTGAGGACAAGTGCCCCATGGTCTGTGTGTGATGGATCAGTGCGGACCTCAGCTTCTCGGTATCGAGAGGCAGTGGAGCTTTAAAGAGGTGGGGCCTAGAGGGAGGAAGTCAGGGTGTGTGGTGTGGCCTTGCAGGGACCACTGGGACCCTGGTCTCTTCCTCCTCTGCTCCCAGGCTGGTGAGAGGTGAGCGATTCTGCCCCACTGCTTGCTCCCACAGTGATGTGCAGGGCTGCCACAGCCCAGAGCAACAGCCCAACCCGCCATGGACTAGAACCACAAGCTCAGATATGCCTTCTTCTCCTGTGGGTGCGTGTTCTGAGATGGAGTCTGATTATGAAGCCCAGGCTGGACTCAAATTTGCAGGGATTCTCCTGCCTCAGCCTCCCAAATGCTTGGATTATAGGCATGCACCATCAAACCTGGCTTCACTCGTTTTTCCTTTGCAGTACTGGGGGCTGAACCCAGGGCCTTCGCACCAAGCCACATCTCCAGACCCTTTCTTTATGTTGAATTTTGACAGGGAGTTTTGCTAAGTAGCTAGAGCCTGGGCTGGCCTTGAAGTTGCGATCCTCCTGCCTCAGCCTAAGTGCTGAGATGACAGGTGTGCACCACCATGCCCTTGAAACTGTTGTAACCAATCAATGTGGCAAGAGATGGAATGGCCAAGATGGCCAACAGATTACAAAAAGCCACAATGTCTTCTTGCCCACAGACCCCCTTGATGGGGTGACAAATAGCCCTTGATGGCAAGGGAGGAGCTTTGGAAGACAGCAGGTGCCCCTTCCTGGGCGGGTGTCACAGGGACCCGGATCCTGCCCCTCAGCACCTGTGAGAGCACACAGTGCTGTATTCTGCCCGGAGCCGGACTGCGCTGTCCCATGGGGGAAGCTGACCCACACTTACCAGGTAATCATCCGGCCGGATCCCAAAGAGCTCCCGGAAGTAGCGGAAGGCAACCGGAGCATACGTCTTGAACCGAAAATCCTGGAAGTGGTGGGCAGGGGTGAGGTTGCTGCCTTCACTGTGGAAGAGGATGCAGGGGTTTGTCTGTGAGGGATGGTGGTTTCTGGGCACCTCTCCCACAAATGACATGGGGCTCCTGCCGGGACACAGGGACTCCCAGCCTCTCTTGCAGCTAGGTGTGGTCAAGACAGCACCCTGCCAAAGACGTCAGCAGGGCAGAAACAATGTGTATTACTTCCTGGCTGGGCCTTTCTCCTCTTTCCTGCTGCGAGAATGCAGACATGATGGCAGGACAACAGACAGCCATCCAGAACTGCTGGCTACATACTAGAGATGGCAGAGTGGGAGAACCAGAAGCTGTGTGCGACCCTAACACAGTGTGGCCACCTGATCACTTTGGGATCACCTGTGGTATTTTCATGTGAAACAAAAATGAACTGCCACCTCTTCTTTCTCTTGTTTTTTTGTTTTTGTACCGGGGATCAAACTCGGGACCTTGCGCTTGCGAGGCAGGTGCTGGAACCACTGAGCTAAATCCCCGGCCCTCCTGTTTTTAAAAAACTGCTTTTTGTTTTTCCTTTTGTACCGGGGATGGAATTTAGGGCCTTGAGCTTGTGAGGCAGGCGTGGCACCACTGAGCTAAATCCCGGCCCAAAAAACTGCTTTTCTGTGGGGTCCCTCTGTTTCGGCTGCCGTTCTCAGTAGAGAAGGGCGCTCAGAACACAGGGAGGCCACTCCATGACAGGAGCTCCTCTGCCCCACAGCAGCCTGACGGCCCAAGCCGCTCTGTGGGTGTGCGAGCCGGCCCACCTGGGGAAGAAGATGCTCTCCACCACATAGAAGTCTTGCATGAGGACATCTCGCTCAGGCTTGGAGCTCAGGTTGCCCACGGTGTAGCCGATGCCCAGCTGGATGGCTCCCTTAAGAGTGGAGGATGTGGTCTGCAGGGAAACGGGGACACGTGGGGACGTCAGGCCCCCAGCCAGGCCCTGCATCCGTGTGTGTGTGTGGGGAGTTGGTATCTGGCTGTACCTCTCCCACCAGACCCGCTAGGCCTGTGTGGCCCAGGGCACAGCTGCCTTGGGAACCCGCCCTGCCCTGGCCACACAGGGAGAGGACTGGCAGGAAGGGGTCACACACTGTTTTATTCTACTTCAGCAAAGCTAGGATTTTTCCTGCAGTGTTGGGCTTTCATGCCGAGTTGCATCCTCAGCCTTTTTTTTTTTTTATTTTGATGCAGGTTCTCCCTAAATTGCTCAGTTGCCCAGGCTGGGCTTGAACTTGTGGTCCTCCTGCCTCAGACTCCCCGGACGACTGGCGTGTGCCATAACCCAGCTACGCTGTTACAGTTTTCAAAGTGCAGCTCAGGCCAGGATGGGGACAGCAGCTGTGGGCCAGGTCTGAGGTCCCCGAAAGCACTGCCTCTGCCTGGCCTTGCATGCATGGTGGGGGCGCCTGTGGGTCCCTGTCCCTCCATGGTCCCAAGCACACAGGGGACCTTCTTGTAGGTGGTCTCGCCAGATGCGTCCACGCCTCGGTGCCCCAGCTTCTTTCCATGGCCGGGGCCAGGCTGTCCAGTCATCGACGGGGCCTGGGGACAAGGAAGCAGGAAGCGTGAAGTCCGCGAGGGGCCCCAGAGGCTTCAGAAACACCGGGAGAAGGGACTGAGTCACCGAGTGACTCCCAGACAGGGTGGGTCAGGACCCCGTGGTGTCCCCCTGGTTGTCCATGAGGCGCCCAGGGGGGTGGGGGAGTGCATGGCAGCCATGGCCCAGCTGTGCAGGTGGGAGACGGTTCCTCAAGCACCGGGGACACCAGGGCAGGGGCATTCCAGGCACTGCAGCATCCCTGGCCTCTGCTTCTTCCATGCCAGGAGCTCCCATGGGGGACAGGGAAAGATGTCCACACAAAGATGGGCGCAGACCTGAGGAGGCCCTGCCTGGCCCAGCCGCCTGTGCCTTTCCTCCCTGAGGGCATCCCATAGCTGAGAGCCTGGCTGCAGCCGCCTGTCATGGACAGCAGGGGTGTCACGGCTGCTGGATGTGAGCCATGGACCCCAGTGTGGCTGACCCTGCCCGTACCCCCTCAAGGATGCGATGGATGCAGCCGTTGGCCAAGATCAGCCCAGGGCAGCTGGGCCGGGTCTGCAGACAGGGTCGGTCCCTCTGTGGCCCTGCCTGCCAGGTGACAACCATGGGCCCTCCCCGAGATCTACCCAGCAATGCCACCCATGCCGGGATGGCCTCAGCTCCAGGAATCCCTCGTCCCTGTCCCCGCCAGGCCTCCTGGGCTGCTTCTCAGCAGGCTCCAGTGCGTCCTCCCCAGTGGCCACCAGGGGGCAGGCTCTCCTCAGGATCAGAGGCCAGGTTTCCACACCCCTCCCTGCGGGCTCCCACCGTGCCAGCAGCCAAGGCCCTGGTTTGGACACAGCGTGCTCATAAGGATGCGTGGGCAGGAGGCATCCATGGAGAAGGGCAGGGTTGGATGGCCACAGCCACACTGGCTCCTGCTGGGGCCAGGATGCCCCCCAACCCGTGCTGGGGAGCAGGGACTAGGTCACAGGGACAAGCCCTGTCTGGCCTGGAACACACACACACACACACACACACACACACAGAGCACCCCTCTCCCCACTGCCCCATTTCGCCTGCACAACCTGAAGGCCACCACGTCCACCCTGCCTGCTGATGCTCAAAGGTGCCTCCTCCCCAGTCCCCAAGGGCTGCCTCTCCCTATCTTCTGGCCCAGGCAGGTTAGGTAGGGACCCCAGCCCTGCACCCATTCCCACACTCACCTCTGCCAGGGCTGCCTTCTTCTGAGCCAGGCCTGGGGGGGACAGGAGGAGGGCTTTCAGCAAGTGGACCACCCTGCTGGCCACCCTGCCATCCTGGTCACCAGGGGCCCTGCCTGCCCCTCCCCCACTCTCACTGAGTGCCTGGGACCCCTGGAAAGGGACAGGAGAACCAGGTAACTGCAGCCACGCAGGCACCATCTCAAGGTCACATGCACAGACACAGATTCCCCAGGCTAGGGGACTGGGCGGAGCCTAACATGGGGGTGTGTGGTCACTGGGCTCTGGCCAGTCACCCTGCACTGGGGCCACCAGCACCTATGGTGCTCACCCTATGCTGGGGCTTGTGGGGGTCCCTGAGCAGGTGGGGGCATTGCAGATTGGGGACACTCAGCCTGGAGGGGACAAGCAGCCAGGGACGTCAGTCAGGGCACTCCTGGGTCCTGCCTGTGCCATGGGGGCGGGGACCTGGTGGAGCAGGCGGGGATGGCAGAGTGAATCCCGGCTGAGTGACCCCATCCCCACAGACATCAGGTTTGGGGGCCAGGCACCAGGGGACTGTCGTCCAAGGCCCATCCCCGTCCCCTCACAATCACAGGGAGATCAGGACCTCTGGGAGAAAGGCACTGAGCGCAGCCCCGCCCGGCCCCATAGCGCCCTCCTAGACTCCGTCCCCAGGGCCAGGCCAGCTGAGTCTAGAGGAGCCCAGGACTCAGGGGGCCGTGGTCAGTGGGAACCAGCCGGGCCCAGGCCTTTCTCCCTACCTGGGAGTTTGTAGGAGCAATGGGAACAGGCACAGGAGGCAGAGGGGAGGCTCCATACCTTATCCTGCTCTGTACCCATGCCCCCTGCCTGCACGGGCACCAGGACTGCAAAGCCAACCAGCCCCCTCTGTGAGGAGGGAGGGGTGGGGAAAAAGACGCTCACATCCTCATCCCAGCATCGGACTGAGGTTGTGACCAAAGGCCCTGAGAGGGGTCACCCTGACCATCCGGGCCCAGTGTCCCCCAGGTCCCCCTGAGATGGCGAGGGAGGTTGAAGACGCCTGCGCTGCCGGCTTTGCAGATGGAGGACAGGGCTGCAAGCGGAGGGCTGTGGGCGCCTCTAGGGGCTCAGACAGGGACTGGGGTCTCCCCAGAGCCTCGGAGAAGCAGCCTTGCCGCCAGTGCCTGGACTCAGGCCTGGGAGGCTGTGTTGGCCTCTGGACCCAAGCACTGTGAGGTAAGAAGCGTCACTGTCTTAGGCCACATCTGTATGATCTGTCACAGCCACCTGGGGAACCTGTGCACCTGGTGACCAGGGCAGTCCAGGACTCAGCTACAAGGGGCTCAGCCAAGGGAGGGGGCCTCATGGGTGAAGGCAGAGCCCGCAGAGGGGCCTCTGAGGAGGAGATGCCCAAGTGATTGTGCAGTAAGGGCTAGGGAGGAAGCAGGCAGGCCGGGTGCAGCCACGCTGTGGCAGATGGTAGCGCAAGGCCAGGGCTCCGCACCATGCTGCTGCTGTCCTCAGAGACCTTGCAGCCTTTGCACTGGGCCACACCCCCAGTCCTTTTCAGCTTTTGTCTTGATATAGGGTCTCACTAAGGCGCCCAGGCTGGGCTGGAAGTCAGGATTCTCCTGCCTCAGACTCTGAGAGCACTGGGATAACAGGCGTGCACCACCATGCCCCGCTTCCCAATTCTCTTTAATAACCCAGGAGCAGGCCCTCCCTTGGGGCTGGTTTCCAACTGTCCTCTCATTCTATTCTCCCTTCACAAATAAGGAGCCTGAGGCCCAGGGAGGGCAGGGGACCTGACCAAGGTCACACAGCAGGGTCCTGGGCTGGGCTGGGGCCTATACAGGCAGGATGTGTCCCCGACCACCTTGTGTCACACAGGGGGGCTGCATACTCCTTGGCCACCTCCCAGCTCTGACCCAGACACCACAGGTCCCGGGGAGGGTCAGGCTCCAGAGCAAGCTTGGGGCCAAGGAGGTGAGGTTCAGCCAGGCAGTGGCCGGTGAGGAGAGAGAGGGGATGAGGCCAGGGTGGGGCTCAGGCTGGGCAGAGACACGGTGCGGGAGGAGGAGGCAGCTCCCACAGGCAAGGGGCCCCCAAATGACAAGGGGACCGCCGGGTTACAGATACAAAACGTAGCCTGGCACAGTTCTGCAGACCCATAATCCCAGCACTCTGAGAGGCTGAGGCAGGAGGATGGCAAGTTTAAGCCCAGCCTGGGCAACTTAGGGACTTAGTGAGACTCTGCCTGGAAAGTAAGAAGGGGGTGTGGGAGAAGGAAGGGAGGGAGGGAGGAAAGGAAGGAGAGAAGGAAGGAAGGGAAGAAATCAAGCAATCCTATATGGCCACTGCCTGTGTTCAGGTGAAGGAGGACAGATGCCGGCCTGGGGCTGACACTTGGGTCTGACGCCACGGGAACGACAGCTGTGCCCGATGGCTGACCCTGTCCCTGAGCCCCTCCCTCACATTCATGCTTCTGGAGCCCAGAATGGGGCCTATTTGGAAATGGGATCTGTGCAGACCTGACCAGGGGTCCTGATCCAGCACGACTGACGTCCCTGTGTGACGGCTAGGCAGACGCAGGGGAAAAGTGACACATGACCATGGAGGCAGAGATGGCCACCTAGGGTCTACAAGCCCAGGAACGCAGAAGATGCCAGCAGCCACTAGATGCTGGCCAGGGGCTGGGATGGCTTCTCCCAGCTCAGAAGGAATTGGCCCCGCCCATCTCTCTCTTTTTTTTTTTGTATCATTTATTGTTTACTTTCTTTCCCTGTGGTAATGGTAATGAGAAGACCAGGGGCTTCTCACTAAGCTGCATCCCTGATCCCATATGTTCTTACTGTGAGACAGGTCACTAAATTGCCCAGGCTGGTCTTGAACTTGCAATCCTCCTGCCTCAGCCTCCTGAGTATCTGGAATCATAGACCCCAGCCACCAGGCACTTCTGGCCTCCGAGATGGACTGCAGCCCCCAGGCTGTGGTTATCTCTCACAGCCCGAGGTCCCCTCCTCTTTCTCATGGCCTGGGCTGTGGCCCATCATGGACTAGGGCCAGCAGGCAGCGGAAGGTGCTGGTAGCTGACACAATCTTTGCCTTGGCAGCCAAACATCAGGACAATTCATGGCTCTGTGACTTGGGCATCAGGGGAAGGAAAGGAGGGCAGGCGGGAAAGTGGTCAGGCATGAGGCAGGACGGAGTCTGGGCCGTGGTCTCCCCACATTGTGCTCTGTAGCTCCTGTACCATAGGTGCCCTTGAGGGCGGGCTCTGTCCACCCTGCCCATGAGGAGGTGGCAGCATCTCCACGGCCCCCACTCTGTGCCCAGGATGCTGCCCCACCCAGCACTGAGTGTCCCCTGCATGCATGGTGCGCTGGACCATGCTCTGAAGGATCCTGTCCTGCTCCTGTCCCTGCTCTGAAGGATCCAACCCTGATCCGATCCCTGGCCAGTCTGCCTCACCCCAGGACCAAGCTGAGAGCCCTGGACAGGCCTTCACAGCCCCACCAGACCCCTACCCAGTTCACTTGGACTGGCTAAAAAAAGGATGTGCTGGCACCTGCTTGTCGTCCCAGCACTCTGGGAGGCTGAGGCAGGAGGATGACAAGTTCGAGTCTAGGCAGGGCAACTTAGTGAGACCATCTCAAAATAAAAAGTAAAAAGAGCTGGGGTACAGCTCAGTGTCAAGGCCTGGGTTAAATTCCTAGCACGAGAAAGGAAAAAGGGAAGCCCTGGGCCACCCCCACCCACACAGGCCTGGCTGAGTAGTGGCCGAGGTCCTGGGGAGCGGCCACCAAGGGTAGGGTTGTCCTGTCCAGGGGACCCAGGGGCCAGGAGCAACAGGCAGAGGGGACAGGCGGGCGACGCAGGCCAGGGACAGGCAGGGGCTTTGTCTCTGCGTGGCCGAGCAATGCTGTCCGTCACTGTTGAGCTCAGCTCAGCCCAGCCTGCCATCTAAGCAATTATCTCCTGAGTAAGCTGCCCTGTTTTCAAGGAAATTAAGTTTAAAAATAGTTGGGGGGGAGGAGAGGCGGGCCAAGCCGCCTGTAGAAGCCCACGTCAGCCAGCAGAGTGGGCGGGTGGGGACACCAAGGGGTGCCTGGCAGGGTGACCCAGGCCTCCAGGGCTGGGTGGTCAGAGGAGCCAGGGTCTGAGGAGAAGCCGCCCTCTCCCGCCCTCTCCTCTGCCGCTGTGGCCTCAGGCAGGCCCTGCCGCAGGACCGCCGTGGCCTGGCTGAGCGGTGGGAGCCCCTATACCGGCCCCATCAAGACCCAGGGCGACCGCAGCCTGCCACCCACTGCCGAGGCCCTTCCTTCGGGGGCCTCCTCTGCCAGCAGGGACCAACACTCAGCTGTTTCCCAGTCCCTGCCCAGCCTCAGACTCGAGGTCATCTGCCTGGACGCTCTGCCTTGCGCCAGCTGCCTTCTGTGCCCACTAAGGCCACCTCCTCCTGTTCTTCCCGGCAGACACCTTGAGCGTTTGTTGACTAACGGTCAGAACGGGCCTCCACGGAAGCTGCTTCTCCACACTACGGGATGTGGAAACTGAGGCACAACACCACGCCCACACACCCCACAGATGCTGGCAGAGACGGCACAGCAGGGAGGACTTGGCCAGCGACCCAGAATCGGAAGGGACAGACAGCAGGAGCTGGGCTGAGGGACACGGGTCACCCATGCCCACCCTAGAGACTTGGGGCCCTTGGCGGTGCTGAGGGCCTGCTGGCACGGGCGGGGGCGGGGGGGGGGAGCAGCAACAGAGACCATAATGAGGAAGCAGGCAGGCAGAAGAGAGGCGGGGGGAAGCGAGCAGCAGACAGCCCAGGAGACAATGGGAAGGGACGCAGCACCCCCACCCCACTGGGTCTCACCTGCTCCAGCTCCGCCCATGGGGCCACAGCCCACGGCCAGGCCCCTCCCTGTCTACCCTGCGCTCCCTCTGCCCCACCAAACAGCCTGCTCCTCAAACCCCCTCCAGTGCCAGGCTCCATCCTACCCCAGGGCCCTTGCTCAAGCCACGCTCTCCACCTGCAGCACCTTCT